GTTAGAAAGAAATCTTAAGAAAAAATTCTCAATTCTAAGGGTTTCTACAGGAAGTCTTTAGCTTGTTACTCTCAGTATTTTATGTCGAAACAAGCCCAGACTAGAAAGACAAGTGATCAGGTTCCATGTGGGATTTGCTCTTTCTGTTCCTCATTTTGTATCTATCACATGCACATTTATATGTCTCTCACACAATATTTCTGCATTGTTGCCCATTATCTGGTGTCACAGTCCATACAGATTCTCGCTGAACAGGATATTCTCTGTGCTCTCAGCAACACATCAGTTCTTCCTAACTGCATGACCCAGCTGTCTTCATTACACATCTGATCAATAAATATCGAAAGAACTAAAGTGGACAAATGAAAAGCATTCACTAAACAAGGCTTTTTTTCCCCAAGAAAGCCCCAGTTTCAAGTATTAATTACTATATATATAGAATTCATTCTTTGCATAAAATATGGAAGACTAACGAATTTGCAATTAATTTGCACTGTGCTTCCAGCACCCCATGGAAACAACATCCATGTTTCTAAAATCCTGGAGTTGTTCTGCAGAAGAAGCAGAAGTGAGTGCCTGTGGCCCGTGCTGCAGCTGAGCAGGCTGGAGGGAAGGACTGCTGCTCCCAGGTCCCAAATCACAGCTCAAGAACATGCCCTGTGCAGCCTGCAACCCTGGGCATTTCCCAGCTGCCCCTTTTTCTCTCCTTCTCCCACACTGCAGTCTGACAGCCAAAGCTCTTTTGAACCATTTTCAACTAAATTATTTCCTGTGTTGTGGTTTCTCAGCTCCAGAGAGAACTTTTTCTTGAAGAGGAAGGGTTATACAACATTGAACTGGTGGTGAGAGCTTCAGCCAGAGTACTGGAGACACACATTTAGCTACTTGCTTTGCTTGATTTAGATCAGGGGCCATGACCCTGGTTCTCCCATGTTTTAGATGAGTGACCAAATCACTGAGCTATCAAGGCAATCACTTCTGCTCTCTGGCCCTATTAGTATCTCATTAGTGAATTAAACAGAGCGGCACATCGAACAGGGTCCCCCACTCCCCTGTGTGTGTCAGGCTGGTTGATATACAAGGGTCAGCATCCCTGGCTTCTGTGAAACACCTCCAGCAGGACTTGGCTTCATCTTGCTGGTAAAGAGGAGGAGTTCTGAAGTCTCAGGAAGAATGGAATAAAAAATCATCTTCCCCAAATCTCCCTTAGGCTTGCACCCATGTATCAAAATCTGTATAAATATGACTAATGGATAATCTATGTTTCTCTTGTCCTGTGAACTGATTTTTGCAGATCTAGAACGATCGTCTTCCTCAATCAGTTTCAAACCTAAATCTCCCTTAGGCTTGCACCCATGTATCAAAATCTGTATAAATATGACTAATGGATAATCTATGTTTCTCTTGTCCTGTGAACTGATTTTTCAGAGCTAGAATTAATGCTCTTTCATCAGTTTAAACTAATGGATGGGGATGCAAAGAGATGTGTCCTGTGGGGTCTGTAACCACTACTGGGACAGCACAGTAACGTGCCAGACCCCTGTGACAGCAGTCAGCCAGGCCCACACAGCCACAGAGGTTTGCTAATTCAGTTTGGAAGAAAAAGACATAAACATGCAACAAAACACTTGCCCACTTTGTCTTCCCAGTTGGAGCAGAAGAAAATGGCACGAAATGAATGACAAGGGTGTGGTTGGACATGTGCTGAGCTATAGACATTCAGGGAAATGTGCTGGCACATGTCCTCTCCAAAGACAGAAGATGTAAGAGGAAAGAGAAAAGCATTTTCTTAACCCTTCTGTAAGTTTAGTAGACCTATTCACTTTGTGGAATTGCTGAAGACCTATTAACTTCATGGAATCTGGTACATTGTAAATGATGTATAAACCATCCCTGGAATATATGGCAGGGCATTGCAATCCCAGCACTGAGCTGTGCTGTTTGCTGAGCTAATCATTTCAGGCAGAGCCACAAACCCCCACCAAGCTCACAAGTTTTGGTTAAAAGAAAGTAAAAAGACAGAACATAAGTATGATGTAGTGATTTATGCAACTGATTTGAAACCCATAGACTCCATTAAACCACAGGTTTAAATCCCACCTAGGTTCTTTTCATCCTTTTATCACTCAGAAAGAGATAAATTCTGAAGTACCTCTGAAGGGTTTCCACAGACAAAATCTTTTCAAAACAAACAAACTCAAATTCTTCACATCTTTGAATATTTTCCTTCTCTAAGTTTTAAAAAACATTGTGTTCATCTTGATGGCAAAATGTACATCTTCTCTTCAGTGTGCAATAATGACTTAGGGGAGTTTACACTGATACTTGCCACAGTGAATCCCTCTTTGGCAACTAACATGGTTAAAACATGTCAGGGTTACTCATCACACTCTATTTCATCAGACCTCTGTGGTGATCAAGGACTAATAACCACTTGGGTAGCACCGAACAGCCTGGATGTTTCCAAAGGACCAACTGGGCCCTTCCAGAAATCAGGATTGCTACAATGAATCTTCTCTTTTGGCCTGCCAAAATTTTCCCTGCTGTAATTATTTTGTCCTGTTATTCTCTATTATAAATTGCCCTACTGACAACGAAAAAAAAAAAAAAAAGTTTTGTGAACCTGGTCACCTGGGATTTTCCGTCCCTGTTAAAAGGTGTGGTTTTCAGTTAAGTGTAAATAAAATGTACAGCACTATGGCTGTTGGTTCTGGGTCTGTTACATAAATATTTCCCTCTCTTCTCTTTCCAGCCAACACAAGCAACTGGTATTTTTGTGTCTTTGATTTTCTTTTTAATAGTCATTCCCTGTCTGAAAACGGTTTTCACCTCTATTCCTGTTGATATTTGTTCTTTGAAAATGTCATCAATTGCCCTGTTATTTCATGTTAAGCCCAAGTCAGAGCTGAGTGTGAATCCTTAACTCAAATTACTCAACACCCAGCACAAGACTCAGTGCTCCATTGCCAGGCTCTGGAAAGGGGTGTTGGACCTGTCCCAGTTTCCATCGAGGACAGGGTTAATATTTTGCAGTAACTGTGAGGGGGCTGAGCCTGGAGCTCTGTGGGCATGACCAAGCCATTGTGTTACTGGATACCATCTTACATCATGGCCAGAGATGAAGGGAAGAGACAGACTTGGACTTTCTCACATTTCCATGGTTTCCAGTCGGGACCAGAGGGGTGGTGGACAGAGCAGTCAGGATGTGGCACCGCTGGCTGCAGTCACAAAATGTTGTGTCAGGTCAAGCTCTTCAGTGAGCAGTTTTGCATGTAAATCACCCTGTCTTTGTACATTTCTATTATTAGTGTTTTTGCTGTTACTTTTCCTTTCCCTATCCTATTACTGATTCCAGCATAATGCTCTTATCTCAACCCAAGACCTCTGCCTTTTGTCCCCCACTGCTGGGTAGGGGGGCTTGTGGTTTTGCTTTGTTTTTTAGTGGGGGGTAAAGTGGGGAATACCTTTCCTACACCATGACAGACACTCCAAGATGGGAGGAAATAATCTCAATCCATTCAGCACTGGTCAAAGCCCAGACAAGTTGCCACCAGCCTCCCACAAACAGGTCAATAGGAGAGCCCAGCCTGGCAAGTCAACTCCAAGAAAGCTCCTCCGTTCCTCAGTTTTGCCAGGGCCATTGCTGTTCATCTGGGTCTGGATCCTGTAATCTTCAAGGCCATCATCCTAGAGTGGTTTGGGTTGGAAGGGACTGTAGAGATCATCTAGTTCCAACCCCCAAAGCTGCAGCCCAAATGCATCTACAGCTCCCATCACACGAGCAAAGTTTCACCCATTCTGTCTGATTGACAGGAACCACTTTGGTCAAGAGATAATTTCTTGCTTCACTGTATGTGTAGTAACAGATCCTTCCCTCCATGGAAGGGAATCAGCTTCCTCCAGACACAGCTCCGTGACTGACCAGCTCCATAACTCACTTCAGAGGTTTCTGCACTCACGTTCAGAGCACATATTTTCAAATTCCACCATGACCCTTTGCTAAATCACTACCAAAGCAGAAGTGCCAAGGATGCAAATAACAAATGAAGCCATACAGATAAAGACATGGTAACAGCAGCTGAGGCCTTCCTGTGGGTGAGAAAAGCTGTCTGCACTGAGGATGAAATGAAAAGTACATCCTTGTGTTTAGCACTTCAGAAGTTTTCCTTGGGTGGAACACCTTTTGTCTCGGCCAGAAGCAGTGTCATCCCCTAGGAAACAGTCATCCTCTTGGAAATAAAGACATATTTAGATTACAGAGACTTCCAACAAAATAAAAAAAAAAAGAGAGAGGAAAAAAAGGAAAAAAGGCAAAATCACAATACAAAGCGTTAAGGTTAGAATGTGATGTCTGCTTTGAAAAAAGAGGATCAAATACTTAACAGGGCTAAGAGTATTCTGTCTGAAAGAAATGCCTCTACAAGAGATATAAAAGTAGTAAAAATAGCCAGTACTCACAAGAAACAGTAAAAAATTAGACTCTTTCTGGAAGAAGATCTAGCTGTACATTAGGTTAAAAAAAATAGAGCAGTCAAAGAGGATTTTTCCCTCCAGTGTGTATTTTTCTTGGCAGTTGTGCTCACTTGTGAATAGTGTTAAAGCACTTCAGTTTCCATTGTAAAAAATCGAGTCAGAGAAAACAAAAGTGGAAGGGACCTCAAAAGGTCATCTAGTCCATCTCATTTCCTAAAGGCACATTCAGCTATGCCAACACCATCTGGACAGATGTTCTGCTCCTTAAATGGGCTTTTCACACATCCATAAAGATTTGTTCAAAATTAAACCACATCAAACACCAATTCTCTAAGAGACAGCATGTAGCTACACTGTCCTAGGAGCACTTTAGAGAGAGAAATCATTTCAGGTTTCTGTTTCCCTTCTAATTTCCTGCTGTGGTGTCAGGAAACAGGTGCTAATTCACTGCCTATAAGCAGGAGAGAATGGCAGGGATGGGAAGAGATGTCCTGTTGTCCTGGCAGCAGCAACAGGCAGAGCAACCAAGGGTTCTCTGGTGGGAGAATTGCCACTGCTGGAAATGACAGTGTTGGTGTCTGTGCAGCCACAACTCCCAAACTTACCATTATCAGCACAAGTCATGAACCCACCAGAAATCAGATCCTAGAACAAGAAGGAACATCACCAGCTCAGAAATGGAACACATGAGATGATGTTGCTGGGACGCTTGGGAAGGAGATTCCAAGATGTACTAAGACTAAGCAAAAGATCAGGCAAATGCACTGTCATAGCTGTTCACTCTGGTACAACTGCAATTTATCTGAGTGTTGTTTCTGCTGACTTTAATTGAATTTTGGACCTTATGCAAACATGTACAGCATTTGTCCTTGTCCTTTAAGTATTATACTCGCCATTGCTCTTCACAGGGTTTGTGAAATAATTGGTTGAAATCATATGTGAGCAAAGGCATTTTGTAGAATGAAAACAACTAGATATGCGTGGAGCAGAAAAGTTATATGTTTCATCCAAGTTCATTTTTCCTAAGTGAAATTCATTAATTTTGGTTACAAATCTGCTTTCCATTTTGAGAGCTAGCCTGTGGCTTCTTTTATTTCTTTGGTCAGCCAAAGCAGTGAGAGGATCTCACACACACCCTTTGCAACTCATTCAAAGTCTTAAAGTTTGATGAGAGGAAGACCTCCTTGTCCACTTATTTTACAACTATTTAAAATTAGTAATGACTGTCTAAAATTTTAGAAAATATTCAGATGGACACCTGAAGAAGTATCTTAAAAAGGTTTCTTGAAGTATGACATTCAGGCGCTGTATAATGAGATTGCAGTATTCAATTATGCAAAGGTGTAGCTGTGGCTCAGCTCATGCACACACAGAGTGCTGCAGTCATGGCTGACAGAAGAGCAGGGCTGCAGTAGAATGTAATTTGTGGCAGTATTTATGTTTGTTGCAGAAAGACTGTGGTCTTTCCATTTCAGCAAACGATTTTCACTTAAATTCATGAGTTTTGTCACTTGAGGTTTGGACCTCTTCAGAGCATCTTGCCTTGCTGCAAACACTGTGAGCTGTACAAGTACTGAGCAAATATGTAATGGCAATTTTCAGCTGGTCACAGGTCAGTCACCATGCAGGAGCTCTCACCAAATTTTAATTTCTTCAGTGAGGACTTTTCTTCAGAACCAAATTTCAGCCCTCAGGCATTTTCTTCTCTATAAAGGCATTGTAACTTTCTACAACAAAGGAAATGTTTTTTGCCTGTGTTTGGGCAGAAGGTCACAGCCACAGTGGAGAAAATTTCTCCTTGTGTGCTATAAGCCCAAATTTTTTATTCAGATCTTTCTTCTCCAGCTCGTGTGTGTCTAATGTCTGCTTTAATGAGAAAGTAGCCCACAGGATGGTATTTCCCATCTGTAACATAGATAAAGCTCTATCTTTATGACACATTTGTTACTGCTATTGTTTTTGGTAGGACATAACCAAAGTCCTTTTAAGTCACTGTGAAGGCTTCAGTTCCTCCCCAGAGATCAGAATTCCCCATGAAGAAAAACGCCACAGGATAATTTTGTTGTGTTCCATTTTGATGAGGTTCATCCTTTCTAGAATTGTCATCTTTGGGAATATCTCCACACATCTTCCCCTTTTATTTTCGAGTCTCGCCTGAATGATGATCTTCCTAATACTTCCTTTCAGCAGAAAATCCTATTCCAACTCAATTCCTCTAGCAATAAGCAATGTTTCAAGGACAAGTTTTATTGTCGATTTGCACTTCTAGAGCATTATGGTGCTTTTTGTGTCACCACAATACTGTGGCTCATGTTGTCAAAATTTGTGTTTAGTAAAGTATAATAAGGAGAGAGTGTTTCTAGTGCATATTCCAGAGGTGGGAAGTTTGGATTTTATTTAGGAGATCATCACTTCACATTATTGCTGTCAAGATGAGTTAACTGAAGCATGATGTATACAGAAATTACTTTTTCAGTTAATAGAAGTAAGGAAAAATGGATATAAGTGCCGTATCACCAGTGAAAGATTTATTGCTCTGATGTTTAGGATCCATGTAAATACTGGAGTAGATTGAAGATGTGGTGCTCATGCACAGATCATAGATCTCAGAACTGCACAGGCTCCCTTATTTCAGACACTGTACTCAGTTTGAGGCTGTGTTATATTTCACTCTGTTGAGATTACAGTTTTTGTCAATACTGGGTACTAATGAATGATTTTTACATTTACATCATGGACTTTTCCAATACCTTGCACATTTACTGGTGAGGACAGAATCCCTAAAGATTAGGAGGTTCATTTCTTTCAGTCAAAAGTTTATCAGTACTTTGCATTTCCTGAGCTGCTTAGAAAAAGAAAAAAACAATTTCTAAATTAAAAAATAGAAAAGATTATGAACTTGCATTTGTTGTAGTGTTTTATCTGGTTCCCTAGTGCTTCCTTCCAGAACATCTGGGTTGAGGGAAAGCAACCTCAACTGACCTCATCTAAAACAAGTGTAGCTGGATTTCACACTCATTTTTCCATCAAGTGTCACTGACCATGCACCTCCACATTTGCATCGAGAGACTGTGGTTTCTGAATACATTTTACTGACATTGCATTTGCCAATAAACCCCTTGCTTCCTGTTAGTCCCCATAACCAGATATATTCAGATATAACCATATCTTCAGGACAACCCTACCTTCTTGGTTTATATGGAAACAGAACTATGGATGCATTTTAACCTCTTTCAAAATATTCTAATTTCACATAAAGTTTTATTAAAACAGTGTTTCAAAAAAGGAACTTCCTCTTTTTTTTTTTTTTTCATGTTCTTCCTGAGATTTTGCATTGGATTTGAGTCTCCAATGATCATATTTTCTACTTATGAAAGCAGAGTCCCATTACAGCTGAACTGATTTACTACAACTAAGAGTCTGTCCATAAAGCCAAATCAACCTTTAAATTAGGCTCAAAAGAAATACTACCAATTAAATTTAGTCTGTGACCTCTAACATAGTTTAACAAGCTCAACATATTACGGATTTCAGTAGGGGGAAAAAAATCAATTAAACTTTAAGAAAAAATAAAATCCCTAAAGTCTAAACCTTGACAAAAGTAGTTCAAAAATTCTGTCGCATCCAGCTGTTTCCATGGTTTCACATCCTGTGTTCCAGTTTTTAGGGTGCTATATAGGATATGAAAGTAGCTTGGGAAAAAACCTCCATGAGAAAAACCTTTTTTTCAGTTCTCTTATTTGTTTTGTTTCTGCTAGAGTTGGGGGGTTTGGTTTGATTGGGTTTTGGGTTGGTTTTTCTTTTTTCCCTCCCTTACTCCAAAAAAAATTTAAAAAATAAAAACCTGTATTTTAATTTGAATTTGAGCACTTCAAAGCCCTGAGAGATCATGGGACTATTCCTGCTGTAAGCAACAGCAAAAATCTCATTGCCTTTGGTGGGAGCTGGATTGGACCCTAAGAAAGAAACTGAGGGAAGAAATATCATCTTTCCTCAAACTCCCTTTCCCCCAGAAATAAGCTAACATAACCACCCTGATGCAATAAGTTTATTAAAAGCAAATAGTCATCTTGTGCTACAAATCCTTCTGAATACAGTGTTTTGACTAAATGACATTTAACAGTGTTGTAGCTTTAATGGTAAAGAAAACACTAGCAGCTCAGTACTTAAACCTCTGTCCCACAGTGAATATAATTTTCAATATCCTGTAAAAATTCTTTGAAGTGTTTGTATCCAGTCTGCCCCAATGGATTTACTCAGAATTAGTTAATAGTGAGAAAGCGTTGAACTAAATTTATCGGTTACTGTCTCTCATGATCGCATAAAAAATAAAATTAAAAGGAACCCTCTACAGAATACTTTGTCAGGCTTGGTAATGGCATCATCTCTGACAGTGAGGCAATAAAAGCATATTAGTGACCCCCTGATGAAACATGTTTGCAGGCAAAGTCAAAGAGATTGATCATTCTCTCTGGATAGTGGCATTTCCCTTCAATGCACCCTTACTGCTAGTCACAGAAGCATACTGATGGGCTGATGCATGGCAAGCAGGAAATGTATGAAAGGGGGTGCAATTGTCAAGCCCTGCTCATCTTCTCGAGGAAAAATCTTTTGTTTCTGTTCGCAGTCTGAACTCCCTTGTTGTGCAGCAGTGTTGTGTGAGAGCCAAAGGTCGTAGCTGAGGCTCCAGGTGTTGTGCTGGGCTCCACACCTGTTCACAGCCTGAACTCCCTTGTTGTACAGCAGTGTTGCCAGCACTGTGTGAGAGCCAAAGGTCGTAGCTGAGGCTCCAGGTGTTGTGCTGGGCTCCACACAGGTTTCATTTCTCCCAGATGTGTTTCCAATAGGTAAGAGTGACAAGAAGACTGGGAATAGAAGGGGGAACAGTTAAGGAGGAGACTCTCCCTCTCCCAAAGTCATAGCAAGGCCCAGAAAGAATCCCTCTTCTAGTGCCATGATACCATACTGGGCAATCTTTCCAGAGTGTTTCCAGTAGGTAAGAGTGACAAGAAGACTGGGAACAGAAACAGGAACAGTTAGGGAGGAGACTCTCCCAAGGTCTCCCAAGGCCCAGAATTAATCCCTCTTCTAGTGCCATGATACCATACTGGGCAATCTTTCCAGTAGCAGTCACTGCTGGGGTTTTCAGGTGTGATCTTTGGTATATACTCTATGTGTTCATACTCTTCTTGGGGTTTTCAGGTGTATACTCTATGGTATATACTGGTATATATGGTATGGTATATACTCTATGTGTTCATACTCTTCAAAATCGCAAGCTCTGGTGACACACATTGTTTCCTGCAGTTGCATCGTCTTGGGGAGTTCTTCTGATATGCTGAAATTTTTCTCACTTGTACGTATTTTTTATGGATGTCACTCCAGCTTCTGTATTTCTATTTCTTTCTCCAGTTTCTTCATTTATTATTTGGATGAAAATGGCAAATTTTGTTTTGCACACATGACAGTTCAAATACTATTTTAATAACTCACCTCTCAAACAATGGATTAGTGTGCTACTTGTTCAGAAACTGCCATGCTCTCATTCACTCCCATCCACATTTTCTGTAAAAGGAAGGAAAACCAAATTTATGCATTTCTGAACCACTTTTAGCCCTCATCTCCCATCTTAATAAGTCAAACATCACCTGGAGTGTGTCACAGTGCCTTTGAACATAACCCAAATTTTTTGTCTTTTCCCAGTCCCATTTCTGTCCTGTCCCCCATTAACCAGCCAGCATGACTGGCATGGCTGCAAGAGAGTGGTCTTAATTTAAATGTATTTCCCCAGTGTAGTTTTCACAAATTGCAATTGCTCAATGATTAGCCAGGTGGATCTCTTAGTGCCATAAAGCTCTCTTCCTTGATCTCTTGAGTCTTCCTTGATTTCTTGAGTCTTCCTCTTCCCTGATGGAGAAAGTATCAGCCATTCCATGTGGACCTGTGGAGTGGGGGAGCAGGGGAGGTGGGCAGCCCAAGCTGCATGCAGGACAGGGAAAGGTGTGGGCTCGGGGAGGCTGTCCTTGGAGCAGGATGGTGTGTGGATGGGCACTGGGAGCAGGACAGGATGATCTGTCTGCCAGAGCTTGGAAGGACTAGGGAGGAGTCAGGTCTCAAGGGTTACCTTTGGGATTTGGGGTGTATTTAAAGCTTTCTCTTTCTCTTAGCTTACTGATGGCATTAAAAGTCAAAATAATCACAGTTCGTGGTTACTCACTCCTGTGCCATCATCCCTATTTCGGCATTAAGGTCCAGCTAAATCATTGCTTGGCTGAAATAGATAAGATACTAAATATGAGCCACATAAATGCAGGTGAGAAGCAAAAACCTTAGAGGACTGATTAAGACAAGAGTCTTCCTTGATGTAAGGGGCTAAGGTTTTCCCATCTCAGCCAGGTCCCACGCACTTTGCTGCCTCCGAGTGCTCATCCCTAAGGTACAAAGGCCTTGTTCTAGCTAATCCAGAGACTGCATCTTTTCCTGCCAAGAGGCAGAAAGATCAACCAACCCCCTGTTTGTCACCTTTTCACTAAATTACTGAACATTACTGTAAGAGGGGTTGGTGGAGAACAAGATGAAGAGGATCCAGATGGTTCAACACATGGTGACCTGTCACATCAGCAGCACAGATTTATAAGAGCTGATCACCCTTGTCTTCTTGTTCAGTACAGTGTTTTGTTATTAAGATCTTTATTTTTGTGGCTTTCCACTGTCTGGAACTTGACTCTTTCTTTGACCCCATTTTTGACAGTGCTGATTACCTGTGACAATAATCATCTATGGCAAGAAGTTCTGTGCAACAGCAACTGACAGACACCAGAATAAGCCTTCAACAAAGAAAACAGGAACTTCTAAATGGACCTTGAACCTGAGTTAAGGCTGAACATCACATCAACCTTACTCCCAAAAAGATCCAGAATTACGCAGAGAACCGTATAAATATTTGTTTCAAGATGTGGCTTCCAAAACTCACAGTCTGGAAAGAAATAAAAGAAAAATTAATATTATTGAAAAACAGGTACACAAAGTTCTTCTCAGTGGGAAAAAAAAAGTGTATTAGAGGAACATAGAAGAATCTGCTGCCTTCTACTATTAACAGTCTTAAACCTCAAGAGGTGAAAACCTGCATAAGAGTGTCTGTGTAGTGGAGAATTTGGTTTGTATATCTTAATAAAGAGAATTAGAAAATATAGAAAACATAAGATGTAAAAGCATTTTTAAATTGGACTTTCCCAAAGGTTGTCATGAAGCTTTTGCTTTAACACTTTATTATTGCAGCAGAGTGTTGTGCTGTGGAAAGCATTTCATCATTTGCACTTCAAGAGGTTGTTGGCTCAGACAAGTGTCATTACCAAAGACAATTTTCACAATGCATTCAAGAGCTTCATTAACTGCCTGTCCGACAACAATATTGGCCTTGCTGTGTTCAGGTGCTGGAACACAGATCCATAGCTGGCTACAGTTTCGGGCAGAGGAGATGAATATCCATCTTTGTCCTGCAGATTTCTCTGAATTCATCACATTGTCTGCAAGACAGAGGTCAGTGTTCCTAGGTCTGTGTGGCAAGAACTTCCTAGTGCTGAATGCCTTTCCAGTTAAAAACAAAAACACACACAAAATTGCATCAGAACTGGAAAGTAAATTGATCATTTTGATAAGACTTCTTCAATCAGAAGAAAGCAACGGGAGACAAGATAAGGGCCAAGCTGTTTAAGGATTAATGTAACTCAATAAATCAGACCTTAAATTCTTTCCTCACCCCATACCTCAGAAAAAAATTACCAGAAATTACAGAAAGTTATTTGCTCTATTTAACTGACAGTGAATGTTATGTTTAGGGTTTGTGAGAAATAAGAAAAAAAATTAAACAAATACTAAGAGGAGAGCAATACAAGGGGGTTATATACCCAAATTCAACATCATTTTGAGGGCATTTGCATGCTATGGAATTTGTAACTGTGAAACAAATTAAACACTTTCTAAATACATGTTTAGCTTGGACTGTGGCAAGTCACTTAATCTTGTGTCTCAGATGGACTGCACATGGTAATAACAAATGAAGTCATGTGGGCTGGGCCCAGCAGGGAACTAAAACATCCAGACTTTCCTCTGGGAACTGTGAGCAGCAAAAAAAATAATAAAAAAAAAATATATATATATACATATATATAGGATTAGGGGACAGGTTTGAGTGAAAGGGAATGAGGACTGCTTTTAAAGGTTCATGAAAAAGAAAACTGTTTAAATGTTAAAAATTCAGTTCATTAAGTCAAATTGAGGTCCTAATTCAAGTTCCACAAGGCAGAAATTTATCGTCCTTAGTAAGACAAAGTGAACATCATGATTAATGAAGAATTGGCATTTTTTGCTGTTAGGCTGAAGAATACTGGTATGACAGTACTGAGGGGCTGAACCAGAGTGAGGAGAGTTTCTGAACCCATTTGCAATCCACCTTTCCCAGCATTACAGGTCTCTGTTGTGCTTTCCTGGAAACAGTGGTGCTGTTTGTTTCAGTGGTCTGGAAGCCAAGAACTCCCACTCTCCTGACTGCAAGGCCAGGATGTCAAAATGAAATCATGGAATCACAGAATTGTTAAGATTGGAAAAGACCTTTAAGATTATCAAGTCCAACTGTCAACCTAGCACCACAACCATATTCACCATTAAATCATGTCTTCAAGTGCCATACCCACACAATTTTTTCAATAATTCCAAGGATCATGGCTCCACCACTTCCCTGGACTGTATGTTTCAATGCTTGAAAAACATTCCTATAAAGAATTTTTTCCTAACATCTAATGTAAACCTCTCCCAGCACAACTTGAGGCTATTTCTTCTCATCCTGTCAAAAATTCAATCCCTTTTATCAGTTTGTCCTGAAACATAGTCAAGAAAATTCCTGAAAAGTATAAGTTGTATCTAAATAAAATCTTCATCAAAATAAATGGTAGTGTTCCAGCCAAACTCTTGTTTTCATATCATAACAGTTTTCTTGAAAAATACTCTGTAGAAAGAGTTGTCATTTCAACAAGTTTCCAAGCCCTATGTGAAATGAGATATTCCCAGCTCCATTCTTCTCCCACCTCGCCTAAAGTCTTGTTCTGGCAACAGCCAGCTCTCTATTCCAGCTCACTGCACAGCTGAAAGGCTTGCATTCAGTCTGCAAGAGGAATTTTCCTTCTAGTCCAAGGAGAATTGCTACTCCATTTAGGTTATAGATTATATATTTTGCTCAAATGTGAAGTCCAAAAATTATTTTCTTATTTTAAGGTACCATAAATATGTGAAAGGATTACATTAAATATAATTGTCCTGAATTTTATCATGCTATAGAAATAATACTTTGCACTTATTTATTCCCAGTACTCTGGGATCTTAAAAGATAGATAAGAAAGACTCTTTTGCTGATACTAGGAGAGTCAAAACACATTGGAAGAATTTCAGTTGGATAATTAGCCCTTCTGAGGACCTGAAACTCCCCCATGAGTCATTCACATTTTTGACAATTGACGCATAAAAAGCATGCCCAAGGCTGCACAACGAGTCCCCTGGTAGGGTACAGGACACACCTTAGGAGTTATTAGTCATTTATGCCATAGAAAAGGCTTCAAATTCTCCTACCTAGAAAGCATTAGATAGTTCATCACACTCATCCTTCTTGTGGTTTCAAGAAAGCTAAATTAGTCTCATATTTAGAAACCAGGAAATACAGAATCCACTTTGTTTTGATGCAAATAAATGCATTTAGGAAAAAATGTTGTAATGCTCAGTACCATTGATACCACCCAAATCCCATGAGTTTAGCAGACCAGCCCTCTTCTTTGTAGCTCTAATAGTAGCAGTTCCCTCTTTATTTAACCAGTTCTATTTAGAGCATGTCTTGCCTTTGACTCCATCTTTTGCTGTGAAGTCTGCAGTGTGATGGGGGCAGAGAATGGCAGCAGCACAGTTGATGACATAGGCAGAAAGCTGTGGCAGCTGATGTGACAGTACTAATCCACTAAAATGACACCAATTTAATGCCCTGTTTTTCACAGGGTATTACCAGAATAGCTTTTGCTACCATTTGTGAGCAAAAAAAGAACCCTGCTCAAAAAAACCTACAGGAACAGTACGTTCATGGCCTTTGCAAATCTATATAAGCCTGGTTTTGTTTTCTGGGGCTCAGGAATAAAAGTACCAGAGCTTTAGTCAGCTAAAGGTCATCTGTCAGCTAAAGGTGCTGGGCCTTAACTTTGCTGTCACACTGTCAGAGGTTGGCACTGGGGAGACTCGTGGTTGCAGGGCAGTACAGTATTTCAGCATTTTATGGCTCAGACTGGCTGAGACAATGGAATATTTCTTTCTAGACTTGATTTTCTCAGGGGATGCATTAGCAAGTGTCACCTGTACTAAACCCAACACTAAACCCAGCACTGTTAAGTCCTAGGGGACATCTCAGAAATGCTGGTTCTGGTCACAGTTAATGAAGGTAGGTCCCAGTGGTCACTCCAAGCTGCTTTGAGATAACATCAGGTAAAAATCACTCTGGGTAGCCAGGACAAATCTGGGCTGTTATCCATGTGCAATTGCATAGCAATGAACACTGAATGTGTCACCCAACTTTAGATATCATCCCCAGGAATCTCAAGAGATAGTGTCCCCTTAGTTTTGGGTGACAGCTCACCCAGAGCCCCCTCTGTGGTCAGTGAAAAGGAATAGACACTTCTCATGAAGAATTCATCCTATCTACTTTGACTCCTTTGAGAGGAGACGAATCATTCCCAGCTCTGGTTTGATATATTGACTGGTGAGTTGAGCCAGTGGAGCTCAAATCATCTGCATGGGATTATGCTGGGAATGAGGCAGGAAATACTTTAGTGCCCACAGTGACATTGGGGACTCAAGGTTGGGACACTGCATCTACCTCTGGGATTCAAAGCTATCCTTCTGGTCAAGAAGCTAATCAGGGATCTGCTCTTATTCTCACAGCAATGAACAGGAGGGTGTGGGTGCTCTCTGGTGTTGCAGTGGCCTCTCTGATGATCATGGATTTCCAGCACTGCTATCAGTTGTATCAGTGCCTGATAATTTGACTCCATTTGTTTTTGTGGGGACTTGAAATTTAGATCATCACCTGTAAAATTCTTCACACAACTGCACATATTACAGAATATACAAAGGACAGGAACACATCTATCTGTACACACAAATTGGTGGTTTTGTATCTCTGGTAAACAAAAGTTCACTTTAAAGGAGAAAAAAAGGAAACATGGAGAGATTTGGGAGGCAAGCAATGAATCTTGGATGCCCAACATGCGGTGTTAGAGTGCTAAATTCAGGGAAACCAGCTTGCATCTCCCAAGCATATGCTGCTGTAACAACAGCTACAGTACAGAGAGTTGTGCTTGGAGGCACTGTGGAGTGGCAACCCATAGGGCTCCATCTGTCCCATTCCAGGCAAGGAAAGCTTATCTTTCCACAGGAAAGCAAGCTGCAAACTGATCACAATCATCTGGGGCTGGGGTTTCCTTGCTGGTTTATATTTTTAAGAATGAGTGGCTAGATAACCCACTGTTTTGGATCAAATTATAAATGTTCACAGTTTGACTACAATGTTCACTTTCCAGCCATCAGCATCACGCAGGTACCGAAGTGCTGTTATGTCCTCTGTGGCATTATGAGAAAATCCTACACAGGCAATGTACTCTGGCTTTTTGGATCACTCTTTTAAAAATAATTTTAGAAAAATACAATTTACTCTGGAATAGTAGGTGGCAGAGAAATGCACTAGGTGACCTCTCGTGGTCCATCCATCCTGGTCTGTGATTATACAATAGTTAGAGTTCAGAGTTAAGGCTCCTCCGGTTTTTTTCTTGAAAAATCTCATGAGGCTCTGAATAAAAAATTATAGTGAATCAGAAAAGCAGAATTCATGCTCAGAATATAGCTGATATTTCTTATGTTCCTGTACCAGTACCCAGGTCATCACTTATGATAAACCTTCACAAGTTTTTTCTGACTCCTTTGCAGAACCTTGGTGTATTCTGCAATCATCAGTGACTTCCCAGCACCCTTTCCAGCACAAATCCAGGGTGCTGGTATCAAAAATAACAGAAAAATCAAAGATTCTATTCAATTTAATCCCAAAATAATAAGAATATACTTAAAATATTATTCATTTTCAGAGCTGTGGTATTGTTGCTTTAACTGCAAACACTATCTCTCTAACCAGGTCATCTGAATGTATAGAAACATGTTCTTCCTTATGGGATACAAGCAAGTGGGTGAAATTAAGGCACAAAGATAATAGCATACACCAGAGAAAGAGAACTAAGCTTTTGCTTCAAAAGCATTCTTCACAGAAGGATCTAGAGGGATTTGAAGTTTTCTCCTGGAAGTAGGTAAAAGTTAGAGCTTTCATTTGAGTTTCACTTTATATTTCCAGTTCATTTCAACCCACAGCTCAATGTGAAATTTTAGGATTTCAGAAAATGAGCAAAAACCTGAAGATGTGCATTAAAATGTCACATGCAGAAATATTCCAGTTGGGGCCTTAAGGCACAATTCATTTTAAAGCTACAATGGAGTTCTGCAGTTTGACCTTCAAAGACTTCTTTGAAATTCCAGCCTTAAGCATCCTGTCCAGTACTGGGTCTCCATGAGGCTGCAGGACTGACTTCTTCCTTTCCTACTGCAGATCTGTCTTATGTACATTGAAACTGGAGAAGGAATTGAGAGAAATGCTAAAATATCTGTCACCCCCCCATGTTTTCCAGTAAAAATACAAATGATATATAGGCATGAAGGAATTAATTTATTTTTTTTTTTGGGCTGTATCATGATACTGGTGACACTGAAAGAGTATTTGAGCATGACATCCAGCACCATGCTAAAATTCGTATCACTTTGAATATGGATGTAGAGATAAAAGGAAGGGAGAAAAAAAGTCTGTGGGGGAGTACCAGAGCTCAGCAGCAAGCAAAGAATACAAAGAGATTTGAAGAGTAATGTTTCATGTGTGTTGGGTTAAAGAACATAATGGCCTAGTTCTAAAAGCAAGAAGATCCTGTTCCAGCTCAGGATCTGGAGTAACCACCCCCAGGAATGGCTTGGGGCTGAGGAGCTGCAAGCTGGGTTGCTGCTGAGGAGGAAAAAGTGTCTTAAAGGCTCTTAGATCTTGGTACTCTTCCCACATTTTGGTTTTCTCAAGGCAGCAGACTTTTGCCTGAATAAACAGGAAGATTTCTTAGTCTTGGGCACATTCCTGTTTTTTTGGAATGTTCAGGTGTGTGAGAGGTCTCTGGGCCTTTAGCAAGCTGAAATTCAAAGAGAGGAGTGTTCTTTCTTACAGCTTAAAATTTCATGTGCTCCTATTGTTCCTGCAGAGAGACTGATGAAATTTTATACGTCAAAAAGAGGAAAGACTTTTCTTTCTTAATACAGAAGTCATATGATAATTTCCAATTTAAATTTTAAAAGAAACATCCAAAATATGTCCATAAACACAAAGACATATTTTAGTTTTATTTCTAACTATTTGGAAGGTGTTAGGAGCTAGGATATTTTTTATTTATGTTTACTCCCATCAGCTGAATTCAGAAATAGTTGGGATTTTATCTACAGGCTTGTTTTGATGCAAAAAGATGTAAAGCAAGTTAAAGCTTTCTACAGGAAGAGCTTCTGAGCTTGAAGAGGGAAGTTCTGGTCAAAACCAAATATGATAAAAGAGTACAGAAAGCAGAACACAAATCCTGCTGTGCTGCACTTGACAGATTTGTACCATGTCTGAATAGAGGCACAATCTACCCTGTGATGGCAACTGCTCCAGCAGAGCAGTGCCAGGCACTGGTTCCTTCTCCCATCCTCCCTCACTGCTAGTAAAGCTCCTGGTCCCATTTTACCCTAGACCTGTGCTTCCCTGTCTTCCCCATTTCCTACAAAAAACAGCATTGGAAACTCTTTGTCATTACTGGTTCCTTTATTCTTTCAAATTTGGGCTTTTTTTCCCCTTTTTTCCTGTTCCTCTGTTCAGACAGATAAAGTAGACCCAAGTCATCAGAGGTTTGGAAAAGGAGATTGGCACACCAAGGAAGGGTCTGGTCTACATCATTCCCACTGGCAACCCCACTCCAGCTCATAGCTTTTGAATTATTAGCTCATAGCTCATAATTATTCAGTGAACAAATATTAATTATTTCCCTCCTAATCAGAATCTAGTGTTGTAAATGGGAGTTGGAGTTAAAAAAGAGGGTTCAACACTTACCAAAAATGGAAAACCAACAATGTCCTCCTGTTTAGTTTAAAGTCACTAGAACAGATTTTTCCAGGTAGAAAATCACTACAGCCTCTACTACAAGCCTTAATATCTTTAGTTGAGCACAGTCCTGTTCACCTGTGAGACCAGCTCCTGTTTATAAACCTAAAACCTCTTGTTTGTGCAGTTACTTAATCACTGTGAAACAGCACATTACTGTTGTCACATAGTTATACTAAAAGGAATATTTAAAAGGAAACAGAGCTTAAGGGTATGCTAGGGTTTGGTGATCTGCCAAGCTGAAAATAGCATTTAACAGGCTTTTAATCTATTTCATAGGTTATTGTCCCCATGAGTGCTGTTATAGTCTACAGATAAGAAAAATGAGAACAAAGGGTTATTTTCACTTACAATTCAGCAGCTGCTGGTATTATTACTGTGTCATTGATAATCAAACAGAGGTACACTAATAATTGGATCCTTTAGAGTGCAGTATGCAGTAAATATTTGTTGTTTTGAAAATAAGCAGGCTGTAGAAATTAGACTGCTCTTTCTGTCAAAGTTAGCAGATTAAATGCTCACAGGGCCAAGCACCACCACGAGAGAAATGCCTGGCATTTGTGGAAGATTTTGTTGATCTTTGCAAGATTCCTCAGGTCTGTTTGCACCAGGGAGAAAAATAGATGTTTGAAGTAAAAAGGCAATTAAAATCAAAATTAAACACATGTTTTTGCTTTTGAATCCTAATTTGTAGATGGTACATAATATACTGTTTTATACCTTAGAGATAGGCAATTACCAAAATAACCCTCTACTTGCATCCGCTTGACTTGCTGTAATTACCAGAATACACAAGGTAAGAGAAGAAAATCTCTTCTATCTTTCTGCTCATCCCTCTTTTTCAGGATGGAGAGCAAGGGTTTCTTCACACACTGCAGAGGACAGGCAGAAGGACCACCAAGATGCTTTTCTCCATATTCAGCAGCACAGAGGAGCTGCTGGGGACTTTGTTTTGCTTTGTAAGGACAGGAGAAAGGAAAAGAAAATTTCCTTTTCTTGCAATTTTGCCTCTTCCACAGAAACAGTGATGGAGTGTAGGTTGGGATAGCAGAATGCCTTGTCCTTACTGTCTGACAGGACTTGTTCATGCTGCTTTTGAGTGCTGTACCCTGGAGAACCTGAAACAAGAGTGGAGCACACATGGTACAAACTTACAGGGCTGGACAGGCCTAAGCAGAGAAGAAGGGATGCTGAGAAGATGAGAAGTGTTTTATCTTTGTTGCACAGCAGGACACAAAGTGCATGACTGCATTTAACTTAATATTAGATGTCTGCAGTGCAGACTTCACCACTGGAGCTGTCTAGAGTCCATGAGAAGAATCTGGCACTTCTAGTGCCTATGGTGATTCTTTCTCATTCAGGAGAGGATGCAAAGAACAATCTCAGGGAACACAGATGCATTGCATTTATACTTAGGCCCTGTTTCTGTCCAGTAACAGTAAAGACAGAACAACAAGCTGAGATGAGTTTGTTCATTTTTGAAATGTCACCATTTTCTAGGAGACTTTGTCTCATTTTCAGATAGGTGTTAAGCACATATAAGCCTTTTTTTATTAGCAGTCAGTAGGATTTATGCTCTGAAAGGTACTACATACTTATAAAAATATTACCTAAGGTGACTTGCACTGGGCAAATGGTAAAACAGGCATAGCTGTGAGCCATAGCACAGTGCTTAAACAGTGCCTTTGTTCTCCAAGGGGAGCCACACTGACCCCGAGGCCAGCAAAATTGGTTAGAGCATGGTGCTAATAACACCAAGGTTGTGGGTTCAATCCCTCTCTGGGCTATTCACTTCAGAGTTAGATTTGATGATCCTTGAGGGTCCTTTTCAACTCAGAATATTCTGTGATCTGTGACTTCTGTGATCTGTGACTGTCCAAACAGTGTAATAGCAGAAAAGCCCAGCTCTCTCAATTTATGGGGTTTCTTTTAAACATCTTGAAATATTTAGGGGGCTCTTTCAAATTTGAAGATGATAATAATAAAATGTTTAAAAAATAATAATAATAAAAACAGGGTCTAGAAAGTCTTTCTGCTTTGCTCCAAGCTGCATGCAGTAGCCACTACAACTTTCCATGGACAGGGATTTTTTCCCCTCTTAATCACCCTTTGGTTTTGTAAGTGAGGAAGGCTCAGACAGTAATAAACTGAATCTGAGCTACACATCTGCTTTTTCAAGTAGTGTTTGGTGCAGGGGCAACACTGACAGATTTCATTACAGCCCTGTTGATGTATTAACACTGTCATCTGGGATGCAGCCTGGATGAGAGAGCCCTTGAGTGAAGCTGAGAGCTTCTGATACCAACGTGGCAAATGATTCAGTGCAGATCATTATACACATTGGCCTGTTATCTCCTCGGCGACGTGTGAGGCTGCGAGTGAGCTGTCTGCCTGCTTCATTATTTATTTTTCCTTAGCTCCAGGCTCTGCCAGTCAAGCAGCCTGGAGCAGAGCCGAGGAGCTGTTTTGGTTTGGGAGAAAGCAGTGTGAGATCATGGCACTGCCAGGGTCTCCACTCATGCTGGAGCACTCACCTTCTGCCTCTGCAGTGGAAGAGGTCAGGGATGCCACAGGACACCCCACTGGGAAGGGTGGATGGCTTGCCATCTGTGTTTCTCTGCCAAGGCTGGCTTTTACTGGGGCCATTAGTGGGCTCTGGAGTCCAGTGTTTTGGAGAGAAGATTGGCTGTGGTGATGCTGATCACCTATTGCATCCTGTATCTGAGCAAGTTTAATCTCTTTGGCAAGGATTAGGCCTTTCCCTGCTTCCTGCAGATAAGCACAATTATCTCTGCTTTGTAGATTGGGAAACTATAACAGGGAGATGGTCCTGTTATTTCCTCAGGCCATGTTTGAAGAGCAGTAGCAGAACCCAGAATAAAAAGAGAAATCCCACCTAGTTTTAGTTCCAGAATCCCAGCCACCCCAGGAGTGAGCCCTCCACCAGACTGGAGACTCTGGCACCTACAGGTGAATATTTATTTATGGGAAAACGTTTATTTATGGCAAGAACTGTGAGGGCAGGACATTAGAATCATTTCATGCAAATTGCTTGGACTGGAGCTGGTGCTCAGAGTGCTCAATTACCTCAATGCAGCACACTGAGGGCCACCCATTGGCTGGTGCCACCAGTGTCACCACTGCCCAGCACCTCCCCACGGGGACTGGAGCATGGGTCAGCCATCAAGCTCCTCAGCCTGTGCCATGCCCTCACCTCTTGGACCCTGGCATTCCCTGAAAAAACATCATCATCCTTAGTCCAGCCAGTCCCTTGGCTTGTGTAAACTGATAGTGCAGTCTTATTTAAGTGGAAATAGTCTGTGTGAGTCTAGCCAGGAGTCTGGTTTGTACCTCTCACAATAGGCTTTAGCTTTAAAAAGCCAGAGTTTTTCTGCTTGTCAAAAAAAGCAGACAAAAGCTCCGTCTCTGACAAGAGCTCTCTATAAGCTTCAGCAGCTGTTTCATTTCAACTTTGCCCATGAAGAAAGCTGTATTGTAGAGCAGGGTGGGGATAACTTGTGTCAAAAGCTTTTCAAAAGTTACTTTGAAAGCATATTTCATCTTCAAAATTTAAGTGGCTTATCCAACTTGTGGTAACTGGAATCAGCTTTCCTTATATTGATGCGGGGTGTCCCTCAGCTAGTCGTCAAAATTCAGCTGAGGCAGCAGTTTGGGGACAGCAGAAGAGCCAACACTGTTGAGAATGTGTGTGACATGCCACAGCCCTGTGAAGGGTGCACTGCATGCCCTCTCCTGTTGTCCCCGGAGGTCAAATCTGAGCCTGGACCTACAGCAGAAGGTGAGGTTGGTGGGCTTATCTCAGCCCCTGTGCTATCAGAGCACAAACTGCCAGGAGGTTTGGCAGCTTAGTTTGGGTGGGAGAAATAAGAAAATCCATGTCTGGCATCATAAGGGTGTTTCATCTGAGAATTCATAGTGAAACAGCCTGGAGACACCTGTACACATCCCACAGCATCCTGCCTGGCTGTACCTACTGCTACAAGCCCTTTATTGTGAGTGGGGTTAGTTTGCTTCCTAGGTGCTGTCTGCAATCCCTTTCTTTCCCAGCCAAACCCACCCAGATGCCAATGTGTGCTGGGTATGGGGGATTATTGATGAAAGCTGAGCAAGACACCACATGTGGCAAGCTAATTAGAGGGATCCCAAAACAGTGAATATCCATGAGCGTGGTAAAATTTCGGTGAATAGAGCCCAGGGGAGTAAATTCTCAAATCAAACGTGCAGCTTGCATTGGAAGTGGAGGACAAGCTGAGTAACTGAGCTCTGCACATCAAGTGGAAATCTCCTTCTGTACACATTAAGGCTGATTGTTTGCTGAAAACACCTCACAACTCACTCGATAAAAGCAGCAAATAATCATTGTTTGTGAAGAGGAGATGCAGAAATGTACATTTAACACTTTTCAACAACTCCTCTAATGCTGTTAGGGCATTTGTCTATTTTTACACCAATTTAAAAAATGCAGTCCCTGAAGGTCACTCTTTAGGAAAGGCCTTAATTAAGATTTCTGCCTGCAGCAAATTGTATGAAGTATAATACATCACGCTGTAGCAACCCAGATACAGATCATTGGCTACCTTGATCCAGTCATGTGGTATGAGCAAATATTACCATTTTCTTATCATCAAGGATCATTTTACAATGTGATTTAAAAAATTAGCAGTATCTAGATTTTCTTGAAATGTCCATGAAAAGATAGAAAAATGTCTGCAATTCAGGCTAAATAAAGCATTTCTGTTAGGCATTGAAGGTCAAATGGAGACATATACTTTACTGAAAGAAAAATGCAAATCTTCTTTGCATCATAAATATTAAAAACAATACTGTTTAAAAGGTCTAATTTATTTTTATTGAATTAATTTCCTTCCATCTGTTTTTCTGCTCTTTCCCTCTGGAGCTCCAAGGGCTATCCTTCCCAAACCAAGGACAAATCCTCTCTGCCTGCCAAGCCTGAAAGTTCAGTGTGGATGCATTTCCAATTCAGAACTTTTAAGCCCTTTTTTTCCAAACCACCCAAAGCTCTGCCTATGTTCAAAGGCAAAAGACTCAGTA